ACAGGCTGTGAAGCTGGCAGAGACCTCCACACTCAATTGCATCAACCAAGCTTTGTTCCCAGGGTCACCACCTCAGTCCTGCAACAGGTAAAACCAGCTCCAGCCACATAGCCCTGCTGGTCCAGCTGGGGGCTTACACATTTGCAACCCCGTTGAATGATAAAGCACACAAAGGGGTGGCACATACTGTTCATTTTCTCCACATTGTCTTAAAGGAGGCAGCTCAGACTAAGTCAACAAAATAAAGCTCATTTATGAAAAGGAAAAAAAAAACACATGCAGTGTGACAGGATCAGAAAGGTTAAGCTCTGAAGTGATGAGCACAGCTCAGCTGTAAGGACAGAAAAAGCCACAAGTTGAGCCATTTCCCTTGGTAATTACAAAGGAAGCACAAAACACCTATCCCAAATAATGCAAAGAAATGGCAATTAAGGCAACTCACTAAAGCTGACAGAGCACATATCCTTAGTGTGTGAGGATGAGGAAGAAAGTTTCTCTAGTAATGAAGAATTAGGCCAAGGAAGCAACTCTGGCCATCAGCTCCACCCCTAATTCCTAGGCAGCATCTCACAAAGTGATCAGCCACGAGGGCCCTTGGTGTTGTTAAAACAATCTGCTTGTTTCTCGCTTGAGGCCCCACTTCTGTCATTGCTGAAACTCTCTCAACTCTGCTTAGTAATTTCCCCATTGAGGGAAAAGACAGCATTACAGATGTTTCTATAAAAAGTTTGTGAAGCTTTTATTTACTTGCCAGCAGATATATCCTTCCTAGTTTTAGATTACAGGAGAGAAAGAAAGCAATGATCGTTGGCTGTGTGTAGCCATAATCTTGCTAGTCCAAAAATTGGACAGGGAAACCCAGCTGAAAGATGGTTTACTCATTCAAGGAAGTCTCATCAGCTTCCTGAGGCAGCACTGGCTTGAACCAAATCATTAACTTAATATTCTAAGTGCTCAATTACTATTTAAAATAGACTTCAGCTGCCAGACTCAGCCAAAGCACAGCCAGCTTGATGCAGACAGGATCTGAACAATGAGGGAAAGGAAACACTGCAGGACTGATGGAGCCATAATTTGTATATTATTAAAGCTTATTCCCCTTCACTTGGAGGAGCATCCTACAGCATAGCAACAAGGTGCCAGAGGAAGCCACCAAGCAACAGCCTGAAGCCAGCTATGCCCCCAGCAGCAAGGTGGGCAGTGAGAGCAGGAGGAGTTTGGTTATGATTTCAGAAAGGGGTGGCCAGCAGTGCTCCTGCCTGGGCACATGGAAAGTTGTGACCACAAGGGCTTGGTCACCTACAAGGCAGGTGGCAGAAATCACTTGAAAAGCACCTCTTGTGCTGGATCTGACCTCACAGTTCACAAAGAGAATCCTCTCAGTAGTAAAGGAGCCCTGAGACTCTGTAGAAAAGCTGTGAAGCCCACACCAGCTCCCTATTGCCACCAAACACCAGGTCCCAGATGCTTGCTTCAGCTTCATGACTGGGATCTGACTGCTTTGGCATGAAACCAGCCAAGAAAGATCCTCAGCAAGAGGAGAGGGCAAGATCTTACTCCAGGAGTCTGTAGCTTTCTCTAGCCAGCAAGGGGGTTTGTGAGGTGGGGGACAATGACATCTTTAGGGAGAACATACTCCAACTGGTTTTATAAGCCACATCAGGATTAGCAGATATCTCAAGGGTTAATTAGTTCACCATGCACAGATGGTAGCTGGTAGGGTTTGCAGAATGGATTAACCTAATCTGTGGCTTGTAACATACCATACAAATATCCATTCCTAGACTTGCAGAAATTCTACCCTTATTTTGATTTGAGGACAGAAAAACCACACAATGGATGCCAGCATAGAAGTAATGCCTATTTTGAATGACTGACAAGTTTGACTGACAATTGACAAGTTTGGAGCTTGATAAGTAATTCCTTCCCATTTTGCTGCAGAGGGTCTTTGGGTGGACCAAGAAGAGACCATTTGTTGCAAGTGTAGAGAGTATGCCCACGGTAACCACTCCTCACAGTTGTACTGAGGGCTCTCCAGCACTGACAGATGGTCATAGAGCAACAATTCAATTGCTTGGAAACATGAAGGCAGCTTTCTGAGCAGCTCTGCAGTATTTCAGATAAAGCCCCTCAAAAGCCTAAGGTACCAGCACATGTGGCATTTCAGGCCACAGCAAACACCTGTGCCTTCACAGAGCCCCAGTGAAGCTCCAGGTCTCTGGCTGCAGGTTAAAGCATTTATAATTAGATCACATCCAAGCAAAGGGCTGTGTGTTTACACAGTCCTTTGCACAAGAGGAAGCCTGGCTCAGGGCTGGCATGCAGAGATGCCCCAGATCAGCACAAGACTCCTTTTTGTTTAGCTAAGGACATGCCACACTATTGCATTTGGTTCAGAAGGTCTCAAATGTTTACAACCAGCATCAACTGCAGTGGTAAATGTTTCCATAACTCCTATTAAACTCTGAACTTATCCAGTTTCTCCCTGCTCTAAGGGGTGAGCAGAGGACTAGCTAGACACTCGCTCTGGCAAGGCAGAGGTCAGGGTAGAGGTGACGTTGGCTGTCTGAGGCATTCTCTGAATGTTTCTGCAATCAGCCATGCTCATGTCATGCCTGCACATGCCTGACACACAGCAGCTGTGGGATTCCTGCTGGACAGTGTGGGACAGCTGTGCTCACACCCAACAGCCTCCTCCCAGCACGTCTTTGGTCAAGACACAAGAGATTCATAAGGTCGCATTCGTTGGGAGGTGCTTACATTTTAAAATGCCTATTTGTCACTTGTTTAAAGAGGCAGTAGTTCCATGATCTGCACCTATGCAAGAAACTGCATTTCAAAGCTATTTGTTATCTTAAAAGACCATCACAGCAATCCTGAAAATCTGTGCTTATTTACCCCATCCCTTTTTCAAGTGTCATAAAGCTGGTCTTTGTTACAGGCTGTAACTGGCGACTCCCTTGGCATATTCCTTTTCTCACTGCCTGCACACTCCCACAACATCCAGCTCCAAACAGAAGGAAGCATTCCTCTGCCGTTCTACAATCAAGCAAGAAGATGGCTGAGAACAGAGTCCCTTTATGCAGCTCAATTTGTTCATAGGCTGCTTCACATTCCTCTTTGTATGGGGTAAGTGGAGAAAGTGTCTCTCAGCTCCACTGTTTCCAAGCCCAGCACCAAAAAGGAAAAGTCCCAGAAGGAGATCTGGCAGCATGAGGAGCTGGGACAGCCAAAGGAGGGAGCCCAACCTGAGTGCCCCTCACAGGGATGAATGACCATGTCACTTGGGGTTCTCAGGGCAGGAGGCCAAAGAGTCCAGCAGGGGAGAGCATCCACAAATGGCATCTCAGCTACACTGACTCAATTGCTTTTCTCATGATGTCATGGCAGATCAGCTCCAACTTGCCCCCAGAGACACAGGAATGGAGAGGCAGCAGTTTCCTTCCACTCCCAAAGCAGTTCCTCACATCTCTTGCACATGAATTGCAATTCTTTCACATAAACTGGTGCACTGAGCCCAAAGCTCTCTGTGTCTCCTAATGCTGTTCCAGGTCAGTGCTAAATGAGGTTGCCCCAGAGACTTCAGCAACGTTTTTCAAAGATTCTTACATGGCCCAAAAGCCCCCAGTGCTCAGGATGTGGCACTGAGCCAGGAACTCCCACACCAGCTCTGCCTTCTACCAAGTCACTTGGACCTTTTTATTTATGGTCAGCCCCTCTAGAGAAGGTGCTGCTGCCAATTTAATTCACAGACTATTGTGAACAAACACTTCCCTTAATATTGCATTTAAGAAGTTCTAGAAGTGCAACCCAGACAGAAGCTTTGCAGGAGATTAAGAAGACCAAACGTGCCCTAGTTTATTTGTGGGACCAGCACCCTGTACCATGCTTGCCTACTCATTACCACATCCCACCTCAGGGAAATTCAAGGAAAGGTACCAGAAGTATTGGCCTGCAAAGGCAGCTGCCAATTGATACACAGGTCATCAGGGCTAAGCAACAGCTTCTCTTCAGTGCATCACTTAGCTTATTACAGGATGGCAGCTTAAAAGCCCTCATAATTAACCAACAAATCAATCTGGGCAGTGATATTCATTGGAGTCCAGTATATTACATTCATCTTCCCTTCCCTCTCAGAGACTAAGCCACTGCAGTGTTTATCATCTTTAAAAGCAGGAAGAAAAAAAATCCTCCCCTCCCTGCACATAGGCCAGAGTTTTCCAAGAGTCACTATTGGTTAGAAAGGCTTCTCTCTGGATGCCCTGAATGCAATTTGAAGCATCCAAGGTTCCAAACAAAGTCAATGAGAGTTGCAGGTGCTCAATGCTGCTAAGGGGGAAAAAGAATTAAAAAATAGAAAGCCCTGACACATCCAGCTCAGAGCAGCCAAACCCAGAGGCCCATAATTACACATCCCTATTGAAAACATCTGTAAAAATCACTAAGAGCTACATGGGGAGGGGAAAAATTGGATTTATATAGTTTCAAATCAGGGTTTTATAGGACATTTCAATCCAGGATTTTAAGAACAAAACACTGAGCTACAGCCTTTGAGGCAGCCCAAACCCAGACACAAGCACTGAGAACATTTTGCATCAGAAGCCTCACCAGAGTATTTTGGAAAGACATGATAAAAGATTGAAACCAGCACAGAAAAAGATACCCATCCCCTCCAGAAAAAAAAACACCCAACTCTGACTCTGCATTTTGACCATTTGCAATGAAAGAGAAAGAAATGCAATATAGTTATCATCTCACATTGGAGACAGAGCTATATAAATACAGTCAGAGAAGAGCAGTCATTTTAACTGCAATACTGTATACGGTGGGTTTCTTCTATCCAGTGCAAAGGAAAGAAACTGATGCTTATCTCCAGCAGGATTCAGCAATAAAAAGTTAAACTGCTACACAATTCAATGCCACACAAAATAGAAAGGAAAAAGCAGGGGTAAGGTCCTCTCTAGAATCATGCAGTAAATAAAAAAAGCCTGGTGCCTTACCTGATTTTCTTTTTGAAGATCCATAGTCCCTGAAAAAAAGACAACAACAAATAGACATGGTTAGAGCTGGGGACGGTGGTGAGAGAATGGGTGCCTCCCAAATTTCCACCCATCCGCTCGAGGGCTCTCGCTGCGCCCTCCCTGCCCCGGAGCGGAGGTGGGAGCGGAGGTGGGAGCGGGCGGGGGCCGGGGATCCCGGGCAGCCCCGGCCCGTCAGCGGCACCGGCGGGGGCTGCCGCAGCACCGGGGGCTCGGGAGCATGTGATCAGCCAGGCAGAGCGAACCATCCACAGCCAGCGAGCCAGGGGAGAGAGAGGGGGGTCATTCCTTCCCCTTTAAATTGTGCTATTAAATGCACAGCTACTGGATTAACCCTTGATGTCCCCCCGGAGAGGAACGGGAATTGGAACCGATTGCTGCAGGGATGCGCCTGCTCCGGGCTGCGCTGGCGCGGCTGGCGGTCCCGAGGCTAATTAATTTGTGAATAACCTCCAGTTCTCTCCTAGTTATCTCTGACAAGCACTTGGAAAGCACAAGGAAAAAAAAAATCTAAACCAAAACAAACCCCAAAGTTTGTCCTTTCTTCCTTCTTCCAGGATAGAACGTGCACCCTTTACTTTTCCATAATGATTTAAAGGGTGCTGCCACCTCTATTCATGCAGAACAGCTGAAACCCCAGACAGCTGCTATGGGAGGGGAAGAAATTACAGAAGGGAGCTGCAAGAACTGATTCGGGATAAGCAAAACTGAGCACAGACAGACTTGGTTTATGGCTGAGGTTCCCCCCGGTGCTCTCCGGAGCCTGTCAGACCCAGCCCGGGCAGGAGCCCGGCAGTGCCAGCCTGGGCACAGCGCCCGCCGCACACGGCACTGGTCATGCTGGCAAAATCAGCCCTTGGCAGGTTCTCCTCACAGGAATCCCACCTGAGGGACAGGCAGAAGCGTCTGCATTTTGGGGGGCTGGGCTGTGGGGTTTTGTCTCTTGTACCTTGCTCCATAATCCAGAGGATCAGAGAGGGATTATCTCAAATTGTTTATTTAAAGAGAGTTTGGGGGCTCCGCTGTAGAAGCAACACGTCTTGAGAGTTATGTCTACCTGTAAATTCTGTTTTTCCCAGAATTTTGTGTGCATCCCCATGCCTTACGTGTCTAGGATCTTCTTCCACTGAGTAATAATTGGGAATTTTTTACAAGCTCTTTTCATTTCCCAGTGTCATTTGTACTTTAATTAAATGGTTGTTTTCTCAGCCATATCTGCAGCTGTATTTGATGTGATGATGCTACTGCTCATGAATGAGTTGCTTCTTCTACAGAAGTGATATCATATGCAAATATAATTCCTGCTATATGGTGCCTAAAACAGAGATCCCTCAGACCAAGACAGCAATGGTACAGTCCCCAAAATGCAGTCCTCTACCCCAGCTTGGCTCCCACGCCAGTCTGGAGCTTTGTGGAGCTGTCATACAGCTCTCTTGGCATGAAGAACTCAATTCACATGATTAGAAATGAGGTAATGATTGATTGACATAATTAGAAGAAATTAATTTATCATTATAATATAGTCATTTGCATCACTACCACCACCCAATTCACAAGGCTTAATGAAAAAGAAAGTCAATCCGTGGGGCTAGTTTTTCTCTTTTCATTTAGTCTTTCTGTAAGTTGTAAAGTCAACTTTAATTCGGTTCTGATTTTGGAGTTCCTGAAAAAAAGCCAGGTACTCCATGTCTCCCTGTCTTTCACTCATTAAGTCAGGGGAAAGCAGTAGCAAATAAAATGAAGCCTGAAATAAAATCTTCATCTTCACAGTGATACTCTGAAATCCAAAACTGTCCCAGCAAGGACAGAAAAAAAAAAAAAAAGGAAAGGAGATATAGCAAATAATCTCTTTGTCTGTGTAAAGTGTTTTTTGTGTACATATTTTTCACCTCTTTTCTGCTAGTGAAGAAAGCCTGTGTTGCTGCTTTGCAATAACAGCAGCATCAAGAAGCCCTGCCTGACTCCTTGTTTAATTTTTTTTATGTCTTACTATCCTGCATATGATTCATTGATGGATCTTCCCTCTCTCAAGTGATGATATATAAGGTTAATACCTCTCAGCCTCACTGTTTCCAGTGAAGCATTAGTGTGAGGCTGAAGCATTGGCTTTTGTCTCCAAACCAATAAAGAAAATTATTTAATGGTTTCTCTTAACTGTAAAATTTCCAAGTAGGAACTCTGATCTCCTGCAACCCAGACTGCACCTGGCACACCATTAGCCCTTAGATCAGACAAAAAATGTGGTCTTGCACAAGAAAAACCTTTCCAAGGAAAGGTACAATCAATGCCATATCTGTAGCTACATAGGGAAGCTCACTTTCTTTTCAGCTCTTGTTCTTTTTATCTTTTCATCTTTATACACACACACATTTCCATTCTTCTTCCATTTCTATATGAGAACAGACACCACCATCCAAACTTCACTGCCAAGTATAGCTACAAAAGTAACAATGAAAGCAGCGGGTGGAACTAAAAGTAGCTCTGGCAGGTCTTTTTCATTATCCAGGATCAATCCATGCTGAACAAACACCTTTCTCAAAAATAGCATATTTCTAACCTTTTTTGAATTAGAATCTAGCAATTTTGTTTAAAGTCTTCCTGTGGGGCACCACCTTCAGCTGATGCTGAGTCTCATTACTGGCAAGGAAAATATTTCCTGCTGCTAATGATATTAAAACATTGCTGGTGTCAAGCACGTCACACAAGCTGAATACACTCCTCTTCAATGACAGAGGAGAAGGAAGCTGGATCTCCTTTCTCATCAGCATTATCCCAGAATAACATTACTAATTTGACATCTAGCAATGAATGTGAAAGGAAGACCATGAACATGGCTATAAAGCTGACTGCTTTGCTAGCACATTAAACTATCCACAGTCAGTCTGCAAATTTCTGAATCCTAAAAAATACCTTATGTTGAATTAATACATCACTTGCAATCTAATTTAAATATGAAGGTTGTATTAAAAACATTATGGAAAAGTTTTATGGCATATCTTTAGGGACTGACTTTGCTGCTGTATTCAATGAATTAATGAACATTGATGTGTGTGTACATGTGTTTTGATCTATCTAAATACGTACAGATACAAACAGTGGCACAATTGGCAAGATGTTTAAAAAGTGAGGAGTATCCTGACATTTGTTCAATAGAGACTAAGAAATGTTCCAAGCGAAGAAGACTGGAGGTGACTACATGCATTGGCGACAGATTATGTCTATTTTCTAATTCACTTTGATTTATATCTGTCCCAGAGGGTTTCTCCTGCATTGCCTGTGGAGATCTGGCAAGTCTGCAGGAGCATCTTCCCTTGGAGGTGATGGGTTCAGTCAGGGGACCTCATCCCTGTGCAGCCCATGGTGCAAAGGCTCTTTTGAAATCTTCTGCCCCTTGCTGTGGGACAGCAGACCCAGAAAGTTCATTCTCTGGGACTCCTCCTTTCCCAGATATGTCACACTTTAGCCGGGGCCTCTGCCTGTCAGTTAAGCAAGGCTCAGCTTCAACTCATTTAGCAAAGATTTCAGACGACCATGAGTGTCAACTCTGAGGGAAAACAGTGCCTGCAAAACACGAGGAGCTGTCAGAGCCATGGAGCAGCCCGGCTGGGGGAACTGCACAGCAGACATTGCAGCAGACGAGATAGAAGCTAAAGGGAGAGTAAATCATCTTTCTGTCTCTTTCTCAGTGTTTGCTGTCCAAAGGAGATGGGACAGTGACAAGCCCTGAGTAATGGAGGTCAGCCTGTTCCTCGAGAGTATTTTAATACGTAAATTGAAATTGTTCGGTATTTGTTTGCTTCTGTTAATTCATGTTTAAACACATTGTAGTCATTTCTGTTCCCAGGCTCCTTAATTCCTGAAAGTCTCTAGTGGTGTGGGCAGACTGTGGTGGAGATATATGACATTTCAAACAAACAACTCAGATTATCATTTAATTACCAATGATCTGCCAGGCAGATTAAAAGCACAGAAATATTTTTTACAAGGAAGTCTACTTTCTCCTTCCCAACACTTAAGTTTGCAGTTAGTAATGAAGATGGCTTTTTCACAAATTATTTTTCTTAGCACTGCTATCAGATTCTGCGACACTATTTTTAAAGTAAACCAATACAAAAATACTTTGCTACTACTCTTTACCTGCACAGAAATTTGAGCCTTGATAATACATTTTTATCTTGAAACTCTTCTAATTGATTTTCCTCAACAGCCAGACTGACATTTTCTATTTGAGACACGGTACAAAACCAAGTGTGACTGAGAACTGGCACCTGCCTGTCACCAAGGATTATGGTTGGAGAAGCACCTAACATCTTAGTATTATCCAAACACACAGGAGCTATATGGAGAGTGCAGGGATGAAATTCATACTCATGGGACTCAGAGTGCAGAAGCTGAATCATGTGCATAAAGGCATCTCCATTCCTACTGAGCTCTGAGACCCATATGACATGTAACTAAGCCAAACTAACTCTGTATGTTATGCATTGGGAATAGAAACTCAAACACATGTATGCATACAGCTATACATTTTTCCCTTCAGCATTCCATCCTCTAATATCATGAAACCACAGCTGATCTCTTCCTCAAGCCAAAGAAACAGATGAAGGCTTTTTTCCTCCTTCTTCTTAATTTTTTTTTAGAAAGTATTCTGTTCATTTCCTGATATAAATCGTTGCATTGTGGAACCCTCTCCAACATGAATCTGTCCTTTCTGAGCAGAGGTCAAGCTCTCTAGCCCTGTGAGAAAGGGCCCCATTGTGGTGGTCCCAAGACTCCAGAATTCCTTGCCCCGAGCAAAAGGGACTTGTGGGGCAAGAAGGGAATCTGTCGACCTGACTTCAAACCCAGGCATTTCTCACTACTGGATATGGCCTGTGCTGCTGCTAAGAAGGGTAAAGCACTGTTGTGCAATCGCATCCTTAAGAGAACAGGGACAAAACAAAAGAGGATTTTACCTTTCTGTTGTCTTCACAGCATGTCTGCAGAGCAA